ATCCTGAAGGTAAGGACAACCCTCTTCACCAGCTTGCCTAACCAACATGAAGAAACCAACAAAGTGGAGTGCTCCGGAGTCTACAACATAAACCGCAAGGACTGTAAACAAAAATACATCTGAGTGATAGGAAGGAATACCAGCAAAAATATCAAAAACACCAGCGGCTATGCAGAAAGATCGGCGATAGCTTAATTCATCGCCATTACCGACCACACAATTGAATAGGATGCAATGGAAAGACTTGCCTCATATGGGGAGAACATTAGAAATCGGAAGGGCAGGGAGACTGTAGATATCCTCTTTCAAAGAACAAGATATTAGAAGAGGGAAAAGTCGGCGATAATTTTGCATATTGCCTGGGCAGACTTGGCGATTCAGCGAAGACATTAAAAGGAGGACGCTTGGACCCAGAACAACAGTTCGTTCGGGTCGCAGGACGGTGAGCCGAGGACTTATTCGCACAATTCAACGGTCTTCTCTAGGCGGCAATCCTCTTTTTGCTTCCGGTGAGACCACATCACGAATTCCTTCCAACTAACTTACCCTTCTAAATGGTGAGTCAATCCACAATTTTGCTTATTGCCTGGGCAGACTTGGAGATTCAGCGAAGACATCAAAAGGAAGACGCTTGGACCCAGGACAACTGTTCAACAAAAGGAAGGTACTTTGCCAAGGAGCAGCTCGTGAGGGACAAAGAAAAGTCAATAAAAGGTGATTTCAGGGAGAGGAGTCAAACCTGGAATCGGCCAAAAAATTACCAGAGGGGGTCAACTTTTGGGATGTAGGATTGTAAATTAAAGGGCTAAAGATATAGGTAGACTAGATATAGGTCACCAGTGCGTGTGTTTGTGTGCATTTTTTGTGTCTGTGCCTAAGGTGAGGTGACAGGTGACATGCTTAACCACGAGAGATACCAACCAACGCATGCGTATCTTAGTGTCCTAGGACTATATAGGAGTCTCAACTTGAAGAACGAAATGAGAGTGATTTTTGTGATTAAGGGGGGAAAAAGGAAAGCGCTGCATTTTCACACCAGGGGTTATGACTTAAGCTGGGCAGAGGATCTAAAAAAATGAGACACAATATGAGTGAGGATGAGAAAGACGATGAGTCATAGTTTTGAAGTCTAGAGAGAGACAGATTACCAGACACTGGCATGGGCATCATCTGCTCTAAATCCTCGAATATGGCGTAATCGAGGACGGGAATTGAAGGCTCTTAGGAAGCCAGGTAGCGATTTTGATGTTTAGCAGCGACCAATTGACAAGCGGAGTAGAAAGAAGGTTAGATGCACTGCAAATGGCATCTGGTACCGGTGGCGGAGAGGTTTACGCTTCACTAAACCCATTTTGTAATCACACACTCTTAGGCGAAATTAGAGGTCTAAGGTATTGTCTTTACTTGTCACTCTGATAAGTTGTAACTGTGCTAACGATGGCGCTTCTCACTGACGATGATAGCGAAACTTTTGGGAATTTACCGAGTCAATGCTCTGATGCTGGAAATCACGAATAATCTGGCAGAGGACAGGACTAGATGCGTTCTACAAGGTCTCCCTGACGCTCCGACCAAGTGGCGAAAATGAGGTCAAACCAAGAATATAAAGCTAAAGTGGACTGTGACCAATCGTATCTACGATATATACGTATTTATTTTCCGAATGCGATTTAATATAAAGACCACTAGTGAACATCACTCATCGGCATTCCTTGTTCGCGTCGACCAATTAAATCTCACCACCTTATCGAGCCTACCTTTGTACCTATTAGTAGTGTACTTTTCGAACCAATCAGAAGCTGACATTCGAATCACGCAAGTGTTCTAAGCAAGAAGAGCTCCGAACTTAGCTACTTCTCTAGGAACCTGTCTCCCTTGAGACGAACGGATCTCACGCTTTCGTGTCATCTGTTGTTGCATGTCATTGCTCGCCATGCCTTCTCCTATATAAGCCGTTTGTTTCAAAGTCTGTCCTGGAAAGTTTCGTCTTGTCTCATCTTATCCACTCGCACCTTGACAGAATCGAATCGTCAACCGATGACATCAGGTCAATCAGCCGAGCTTCTCCTAATGCACTCGTAATCGGCTCCTCCCTCATCTGCATCTGTGATTGTATAAGTCGGTCGGACCTCCGCTTAAGGATAACCGCGCTCAACCTGCGTCAACATCCCTGGCAAAGTCTTCCAACTTCCTCCACAGAAGCAATGCGACTTTGCTTCAGGGCCGATTCCAAATCAACGTCATCTATCTGTGTTGTGCCTCTGCAACATCCCATTTATTGCTATCTCTGGGTTGACTGCATAGCTCCAGCTCCCTCTTTTCTTTCTATCCTTCTGATTAAGCACAGCCTATGCTGAGGTCCGATCGACTTGTACAATCGCAGATGCAGATAAGAGGGAAGAATCGGAAGGCGAGTATAGTACACATTAGGAGAAGCTTTTTTGATCGATCTCAAGAAGAGTATCTGGCTCGGTTTACGATTTGACGCTGTTACTGTTAGGGTAGATGAGATGAGACGAGTGTCGAGACTTTCTGGGGCAGACTCTGAAGCAAACTTCTAATAGAAGATAGGGCATGAAGAGCAATGACAAGATGCAAAGGTGGCGCGAAATTGCCTTAAGGGAGACAGGGCCCTTAGGTTTTTTTGATTAGTTTGAAAAGCGCCTAATAGATCTGAAGGTAGGCTCGATGAAGTGGCGATATTTAATTGGTCAAAGCGAACGAGGAGTATAGGTGA